AGAGATGGAATAGCGGAGGAGAGAGAGAGAGAGAGGAGGGAAGCACCGGTGGAGGAGGCATTATATACCGCTGGATCCTCATTGGGCTGCCAGTTTCTCGGCTGTACGCGGCTGTACGAGTGCACCTCTGCTTCGATATCATTATTCGTGGCGCTTTGTCCGGCTTGGCAATCGGTTTCGAGATCGTTTCGAGAAAAAAGAAATAACAACAATAACAAAAACAACAACAACAGCGAAAGGAAGAGAGAGACAGAGCTCGAAAGTTTCTTTTTCTCTCTCTCTTTCTCTCTCTCTCTCTCTGTCTGTCTCTCTTTATCTCGAGTCAAGGACACAGATTCTGCGAGTGCAGCTTTCTGAACGGTGGAACGGCTCGTCGTCTCTGGATATTGATCTTTCGTTCCCTTTTTTTTTTCTTTTCTCTCCTTTTCCACTCTTCTCTTTTCGTCCCTTTTGCGCAACTTCGGGAGAAACTGTCGCGACACCAAAGGGCGAGGACGACGTCTGTTTGCTGTGTGCGCCGCATAGAGATACGGAAGAGCGGAAGACCCAGCGGAGGGTGGACGCGGGGGAGTTTTTCGGAGGAAGGACGAACGAACGATGGCCACTTACGCGACCTATAGACACGTCGAGCTCGACAATGTTGGATACGGAAAGAAAAGGTAAGAGTATGCCGGAACCGATACTCTTTACCGCACTGCGGCTCTTATCGACGACTCATTCGTCGGATATCCGGTTTGCTTCCTCCACGTTTTCGTCCATTCTTTTCTTTCTTTTTCTTTTTCTTTACGAGCAGATTTTTCATTGGTTTCTTTTTTTTTTTCTTTTTTTTTTATCGAACAGTTTGTTATCCGATTTTTATATGTGTGCAAACAGAACTGTCACTTTGACAGTTATTCATAGATATTGTTATAGTCAGGAATATTAGGAAAAATAATAATTTTGGAATTTTAATAAGATTTGTTGTGACCTTTATTTAAATATTTTATCAACTCGTCGAGAGGATGGAAGGGGAGGTTGTCGTGAAAAATTTTATCTTTCAATTTTCCTAGGGATAAAAGTAATAAGGATTTTCTGGGTGCTTGTTGGAGACAGGAAGCGGTACAATCCACCCGCGACTGGCGCGATCGATTTGCATTCTCAGTCCTTGATTCTTGTCGCAGCTTTGGAAACTGTGCTGCAGCGCTCTCGCCGCCATCGTCGAAACTACGTCCTGAAAAATTCCAAGTTCAATGCCGAAGATAATCCTCTATTTATCGTTCCTTATCCACCCAAAATTTCTTCTTCCTCCTTTTTCTCTCTCTTCGATTTAAAGGAAACCTTCGAAAACTTCCGGAAAATTCGATTTAACGATCTTCTTCTCGTCGTTTCCTCCAAACCTGCTTTTTATCTCGAAACGGTATAATTTCTCTTCTCCTAAGAAAATTTGCACTCGAACGATTTTTCCGCGTCGTTCAACGTTTCCTCTTCCTCTATGAAACTTGCTGCGAAGGAAAGGCGTTGTTTTCGTAGACGGAGGATAAACAACTGTTACACGCCCGGTATCCCCGAGCAAAGTGTTTTATCTGTGGAATTAGTTGACCGGCTTCCGTGATAAAAATTGTCGGCAGAGGTTCCCAGGAAATCGCACATCCTTTCAGAGGAATTTTCTAATTGCACTTCTAATGAAAACCGACAAACGCGATTCTCTGAACGATCCTTCTTTCGGCTTCATTGCTTTCGATTATTGCGCGCCATCTTCAAAATCTTCGATGAATCGTAATGTATCTCGTTTCGTTATTTTTCGATCGACTCCATTCCAGAGATATCTTGAAATCGTTTGTTTGTAAGCACAACTTAACATTACCATAATCGAAGAACGGGAAATTGGAGTGCATTTTTATTTAATTAATCTCAAGTAATCTGCAAAACTATTAAAACGCGCGTTATTCCGATCAGATTTTTACCAAGATACAGATTTCACTTTACAGAATCTAATCAGAATGAAAATGATCGCATATGGTGACTATTATATACGGTCTCTCGAAAATTATTATTCTTCTTGGAATAACATTGATTCTGTCTCTTCGTTGAAAAGTTTTAAGGCCAGGCGCATGCTTGTTTCGAATCAATTTATGCACGCGTATATTCAGCTTGCTTTTGCTCTCACAGCCAATCCATAAGTTATAGATCGTGCTGAGCGATGTGACCTATTGGGGAGGGGAAAAAAAAAAAAAAAGAAAAGAAAAGAAAAAAACCTGCAATTAGAAAATTTGCATGGCCAGTCATCGAACGAACAAATAATATAATTTTTTTCTTTCCCTCTTTATTTTAATCTTATCGTGCAAGGATTGTTCAAACGATTGTGATTACATTTTTCTCGCGTCGATGCTTGCAAAATCTTTGCAGAATTGAATGAAAGAAACGAATTCTCGTGAAGTATTCTATTTCTCTCTCTCTCTGTCTGGAACTAGATCTTCCTTCAAACACGTCTTTACGTGTCAAAAAGTCGAGACGACACCGAAAATAGAGGAGCAGAGCGGAACACAAGTCGGGCTTAGTTAGAAAGCGTGACTGTTACTCTATACCGTGTACACGTCTCTGTTCGAAGCCTTAGTGCTTTAGAAAACATTCAGAACCGGCTGATTACACCGTATTCAAGAGAAAATATTCCATTTTTACTAGAAACAGATCGAAATTCAATTCGAAACTTTGCGAGGTTTTCAAAATTCTTGGAGAAACACAGATTGAATGCTTGCTTCTTTTCTTCTCTTTTCTTCCAAGAATATATTACTACTTTTATCCGTAATTTTGTGAAATTTTGAAACAAAGATTATTTCCTTTCTTTTTTTTCCTCCGAGAGAAGTGATTATTTTCGACAAAAATTTGATTCGACTGAAAGTTTTTTTTAATAACAATAATCGAAATACGAACAAGTATTGAGTAAGAAACTTTTTTCGATTATCGAGATCTGAACGGGATTTTACGATTTACATTCGAAAATCAGGAGGAAGTTTGGGAGAACACGAGAAAAGAATGGACACTTGGGCGAAAGATTTCTGCAATTGAGCTTCGTTTAATGGTCAACGCCCTCGAGTAATTGACGTGTACGCAGCACTTGAACGAGTGTAATTACACGGATGTCACCTCCGACCAGTTCTCGCTTAATTGCCACCATGATTTTTCGTCTTATTTTATGTGAACATTTCATAAAAAAAAAAAAAAACAACCCACGCGATATTTTATGTCGAATCCTCGAGAGGAGAGTTGTCGATAGAGTTGTTCAGTAGAATCTTCAGTAAAATAAATTTCAATCCTTCTTATATTTGAGATTTTAGTTTAAGAAACTTCATCTTCTCGAATTGAATGAACGAATGAAGAGAAAACGAAATCGATTGAGAAGAATTTCGATGATGATAGTTCTCATAGTTGTCTGTCGATAAAATTCTGTTATTATTATTCGAGCAGATTGTTCGTCTATCTAAGAAGCACTTTAAAACGAAGATAGGATAATGAATATTTTTCAAAATGGTCGATATCCGAGCCTCGAAACTTCACCTATCGTAAACTTTTGATATCGTGTTTTCAAACTTTATTGTTCGACAATAACACTCGTGAGTCAAGGCAATGGAAGTTTTTAAACTCACTTCTGCAAGTCGAATCGATCAAAGAATATTATATTTCTAATTGAGTCCGTCTACCAGTATAGAATCCTTTTTTTTTTTTTTGAATATTTTTTTTTTGAAAAACTTTTTTCTACAAACATTTCGAATTACAAGCTTCGACTTGTACACTTCCAATAATCTCCAAAGTCAAAAATAAAAAATCCAGAAACAATTGGATCATCGAACAGTATCCTCCTCCAATGCTGTTTGCACCTGTAAATCTGAAACAATGGGGGGATGCAAAGTCACGACACGGTGGAACTCGGTTATCGTTCCAATCTGATACGTGTCCTCGAGATCGATGCTTATCCGCCCTGGTGACGAGCTCTCGTCCGTGCTTTCCCATCGATACCCTCCGTTATAATGGTTGCTCTATACAAGCCACTGTACAGTACAGCCTTTGTCCTCGAGTGATAAACTAAGCCCATCCCTGTCGCGGGAGAGTTTCTTCCATCGTCATCTTTCGAACCTGTTCCAAACGATGACACACCAAACAGACACGTTTAAAAAAGCACGGTGTTTGGAAGATTTAGTGGGTGGACACTCTTGGTGTCCAATCTCGTGCGAAAAATTTCAAGAATTCGTCATTTTTTTTTTTTTTTTTTCCATTAGTTTCTTTCGATACGAAATTATTTTGTCATATTCTTTTTTCTCACAGCATTAGTTCTTTTGAAGAAAGAAGTGAGAGTAGATCGCAGTGAAAGATCGTATGTTAAGGGTAATTTCCCGTAATTTCTCGAGATATGTCGAAATAACGCCTTTGTTGATTATTTTATCCAGATTTTTGGTTATTTTTTTTTAACACTTTTTTCTGGAACACTTAGAAATAATTAGATTAAACTCGTTGTTACGTGCAAATGTCTTCCTGATCAAGATATCGATGTTATCGACTATTTTCCTATTTTAATTTTAGAAGCGAAAGAAGCCAAAAAAAGCCCTCTATTTCTCTACGTACGCGTGACTTAAGGGGTTAATGATCCAATTACGTAATTTCTCCTAGAAACCTGGCCTATGTATAATTCAAAACGCCAAAGGATCATCTGGTATCGTGCATCTAGATCCTTTTTTTTTTTCTTCCAATATATCTTCCTCAGATCTTACGTAAGCACATACGTAACCAGACGTGTATCTTTGCACTTACAAGTCTCGGTTCTTTCTTCTTCCACCAGTTGTTGTTTCGCGTCGCTGATTTACTGGTAACGGGAGAAGAAGCTATAAAGAAAACGTTGACCGACTATCCTCTTGTTAAACCGATTTATAAATTCAGAGAAATTTTCCCATACACTCTTTGTGCACGTATCGATAATATTTCAAAAAAAAAAAAATAATAAAAATAATAAACGTATTTTATTTATAATTCTCAACAAGGTAATATTTTTCAAAATATTTTTCATTTCAAACATTATATTATTAAACTTAACTCGTTTAAATTTATCGAATATCGCCCTAATTTTAATTCTATCGCAGTATATCGTCGAATGTACTTTGACGCAATTTCATTCGAATTTTTTTCCTACAATTTCTCCCTTATTTGTGAATCCGTATATAAGATTGATCGATCTTGACCTGAACGGAACTTAATCTTAAACCGTTCGGGATGGCTGCCAATCGCTGGAAAATCGCTAGACCAGCCCGTCTATCGCCAATCCTCTGATCGATTATCGTGATCGAATAAAGGAAAAAAAAAAAAAAAGAAGATTCGAAATCTGGGTGAAGAGGATCGTGTGTGATGGAAATTGCAGCCAGCGCGAAAGTTTATCTCGCTGCAGTGTGGATAATAAATTCAGACGATGTATTGGACGAGATTTGAACAAGGAATAATTGATGAGCAAGATGATTCTTCGGTGATTTGCATTCGATCGACAACTTTGTTGGGGATTGAGTGTATTGAGATACATTACAGTAGAGCGAGGAATCTTAACCACGAAATTTTGATATTGAAATATTATTATTGTTTGGAAAAATTAATGTTCGAGATGTATACATCGTGAAATAAATACTGAATTTTAGCTTGAAACT